TTTGCTATAAAGAAACTGTGGATTAATGGAGGATATGACAGCGTCATATACTCCATTAATCCACGGTTAATTTTCCAGATTGTGATATTTAACATTTATTGAGCAACAAGAGGATCAAACTGAGAAAATTGAGTTTTTATCGTCAGAACAAAGTGAGGTCTCTTCTTGCCAGGATTCTGTCTATTCAGCAGACAAAATTAAATCAGGTACTAGTTTTTTAACAGCATTACCTCAAAAATTTGCAAAAGAAGCTGCAATTACAGGTATTTCTAATAATATTTCACCTAGAAATATGATGCATTTGCTCTCTGTCATAGTAGTTACTTACTGGGGGAAATTTGACAGATTTCTCGTATTCTGAATTTACTATTAAATGTGCAAAAAAGAAAGCAATAAGTACAAGTTCAGCTAAATATCGAGAAGATATAATAAAAGCTGCAAGCCAAAGTAAATTTCCAATAATCGCACACTTTGATGGAAAAATCTTGCAGGATATTACTAACAGTACAAAATAAAAAAGAGATTGTTTTGCTGTTTTTGTAAATATCAATGGTGATTTAAGACTTCTTGGTATTCCGCTTATGGAAAACGTACTTGAAAAAAGCTTATTTTGGATGAATATAAGCTAAGAACTTTTATAAAGGGTCTGTGCTTTAACACAACTGCAACTAATACAGGAAAATTTTCCGCCACAAACATTAGGTTTTGTCAAACACAGTGTTCAATTATATTACAGCTTGCATGTCGTAGACATGTTTACGAGCTTTACTGTAAACATTTTTGGAAAAACTTCACATTGGTAAACTGATTGCTCCTGAAAATCTGATGTTCAAAGTTGTTCCAGCTAATTGGAACGCAACAAAGAAAACTATGGATAAATCTAAGTTCAAAAAGTATGGCAAACCTGTAGTTAAAGGAAAGTATCTAAAAAAACAGATCAAAAAAACTGTTCAATTTTAAAAATATGCCTATTTAGTATTTCCAAGAGGTGATTATAAAGAAATAGTAGAGCTTACACTCATCTTCTTATGTCCGGATGTAAGCTTAAATGTTTACGGTCCCGGATCAGTTGCCCATGCTTGTTTTATGGCAAAGTCTATATATTATCCTAAAATTCAAGTTTTAAGCAATCAGTTGCCCTACCAATTGACAGCTTGTTTGCGAAAAGAAATCAGTAAAATGACAGAATTTATTTCTATATTTTATACTGTGAGGTTTGTACGTTCCTCTTTAGTTTCTTCTGCACCTTATCAAGATTTAAATGCGTACTGGCAGATGGTCCAGTATAAACGTTGGGTAGAATCTTATGATCTAGGAGCTAATGATGTACTAGAGGGAATTAAATAAGTATTGAAATCAATGGAGAGACCTAGGTGGTATTTAGATAAGAAACTTGAAGATAATAAGAAAAAAAAAATTGCAAAAGTTCTTTTCTTCCTACTCACTATGAGAAGTCTGAAAATCTAATTCTTCTGAAAGATATAGACTTCACCCAGGAGAAACCACCTAGCTTGTCACAGTTGGTTGGTAGGAACTCGTGGTTTATTTTCAGTCTCTTAAATTTGAGTAAAGACGATGATAAACCTTGGCTGAACTGTTCTTCATCTTTTTGGGGCTTTATCGACCAATTTAAAACTTTTATTGAATTTGTTCGTTGAATATACATCGTCAACAACTGCTCTGAACAAGCAATTAAGTTTGTGCCAGAGTTTGTTAATTCTGTTCACAATGAAGAGGAAAGACAAGATTTAATGTTGGCCGATCAGCAAAGTAGGGATCAATTCAGGGAGTTTGAAAAAGTACAAACTACGAAGAGTGGCAAAAAAAATGGCGCTGACAAAGCATAGTTTGGAGAATATTTATTCAATTTTTCACCAAAAACAACAAATTCAATTCAACAAATTCAATTCAACAATTCACCAAAAACAAAAAGTTTGTTGAGTTATAGTTTTACAAACTGTTTTCGAAAAAAAAAATTTCTTGATTATTTACTAATTTATCACTGTTGACCTTAACAATATCGTTATAAATTGTTTTTAGTTTAAAATTTATTATTTTATCTTAAATTTTATCTTAGCTACATGATATTCACAAAAATAAAATTGTTTCATTAAAACGCTTATTTTGCAGCCCTTATATAAAAATCTAATTTTCAAAATCAAAATATATATAAAAATAAAACTTTAAGGTAGATGGTGCATAAATATTCTGTAAAAAAAAAAAAAAAAAAAAAAGATGGAGGAGGGTGTGTGAAAGAAACGAAGTCTCCGCCACCCACCGCTAACCTCCTATAGGAAGTCCCTTTATTAGAAATTAATTTTAAAAATAAATTTGGGATCAAATTAATCTTTGTAAACAAGAATTTGATAAAAATGGTCAAATAAAAATTGGTCAACAGATATATCCATAAAACTACCTAAATATACCTTAGTACGTTTCGCACAATTTTACAGGGTCAAACCAATACACTTTTTAAAAACTTGTAAGTAAAAGTATGGTACAAATTTGTTTTTTAATGGTTTCTAATTTTTTTGGAATAAATAGTTCAAAAAAGAAAAATTGTTTTTGTTTGTAACACACATGAGTTAAATTC